TAGCATACATTATACGTTATTTGATATGGGAGTTTAGAAGAAGTTGCTTCATGAATAGGCCAAATTGCTTTTGTACCATGAGTGTTCAGAACGGAGGTAGAGGGCATGGCGCAGTCAAAGAAAAGTTAGTCTATCAACGTCGTATGCTTCACTTCCCTTTTGTGGGCCTATGGAATTAGGGTATCTCAAACATTTACCGACTTTTAAATTTGAAAGCGATTTTGCAATGAAAAGATAGTTTTTCGGAAATAAGGGTAGAGGTGGTGAGTGGAGCAGGGATGAAGAAGAAACCATGTGAAACGGCCCAAAACCCGAAAATGGCCCCTTCCTTGCCCGTTGATTTGCATTGATGCGACTCTCATCGCTGTGCCCTCTTCAACACTACGCTCTCTCTGCTATCTAATCACTCGCCACGTATAGACCTGCGGCGAGTGATTAGATAGTCGGTGGGCGTTCCCGCCAACTGCGCCAAAAAGGCCATGTCAGATCGCCGGGCATATCCTTTCGATGTGAATTCCTTGCTGGTCTGCCTGTCTCTTCACTACATAGGTAAGGTTCTGTTTCTTCGACTTTCGTTTTTTACCGTGGAATCCGTCTTCAATGTGATAGGAGATCAGAAATAAGATGGGAGATCAGAAATTTTAACGACGACTGAATGCAGTTATCTGAACTTACCACTTTCTCTACATGGCTTATACCCATGTATACACTGACTTGTACGGTAGTCGATTCTGATTTCACTGGTCGATGTCGGCTGTTGTAATCCTTGAGAAGCGCATCCTCGAGCTTCTTATTGTAGTCTGGATTTTGGCCGCTGCATATGCTCAGAAGAACAACTGAAAATCACTCTTCTGGAACCTTCGTCGTAGAAGAAAACAATTGAAAGCATGTAAATACCCCCCCTTACTTCCGACATCACGCCCATCACTTTGCCTTATGGCAAAGTAAGCCAACATAGGGGCTATCTCGATGGCAGAATCATTTTTGGCTCTCTGGGGAGGAAATGGTATTGGATGGATTTGATTGTTGTATTCTTTCGAAAGGAGAAGTACGATTCAGTCAGGGTGTATATTAGAGTTCTTGAGAAAGCTCACCATTTTCGAGAATTGCAAGTTTTACAGGAGCTTCGATTTGTCCTAATTTCTTTATGATCACTTCGGGCCCTTGATTCCACACAACATACATTTTCAAAGAATGGTCAGGTAGTCTTGCAACCTCCACAAAACAGACACTTTTCAGGAATAGTGAGGTATTCCGGGTAGGATGGATAAGGAGGGGAGCAGGACCTGGAGACGGCAATCACTTGTGAGTCATAA